GTGAGTGAGTGAGTGAGTGAGTGAGTGCGTGAGTGAATGAGTGAGTGAATGAGTGAGTGAGTGCGTGAGTGAATGAGTGAGTGAATGAGTGAATGAGTGAGTGAGTGAGTGAATGAGTGAGTGAATGAGTGAGTGAGTGAATGAGTGAGTGAGTGAGTGAGTGAGTGAGTGAGTGAGTGAGTGAGTGAGTGAGTGAGTGAGTGAGTGAGTGAGTGAGTGAGTGAATGAGTGAGTGAGTGAATGAGTGAGTGAGTGAGTGAGTGAGTGAGTGAGTGAGTGAGTGAGTGAGTGAGTGAGTGAGTAACCATGCTTTTCTTTGTGTATTCATTGATTATTTTGAAAGACTGACTAATTTCGACTGTATGTCTTCCAATTGCTGCCTTTTAAACGGAAACTTTTAGGGATATCATTGTAGAATCTAGGAGACACTCTCCTCTCAGTCCTTCCTATGCACTTCCTGCTGCAAGTGAATTGTGTGTTTTGTTCTATTGCATACATAACAACATTCCACTCAATCTTGATTTTGATTTTCACTCACTCATTCACTAATTAGGTTCCAAATCTACATAAATTATTTTATAATTTCACTTTACTATTCACCCCCCCCTACTCGACCCTTTCGAACTCTCCACCACAATATGTATTAATTAACTCTCTAGTCCATCCGTGTTTCTAAAAGAGAAATCTGAATCCCACTCACCCACACACACACTTGTCTAATTACTCATATAAGTAGTTACTCTCTTTTAACACACTAAATAATTGTCTACCTACTTACATCATCTATGGAATTGTGTTGTCCCTATACTTTCTATCTGTTACTTGAAATCGTTGTGATAAAAGGTATGATCAGAAACCATTTTGTAACATAGAATTGATTGATTTAAGATGTACGACTCAGCTGAACAGGCAGAGAACCCATGAAATAAAACGAGTTCGTATTATCCTGCCTTCAGAAATGTTCATTCTTTCCTTATTCAAACTTATAAAGGTAACCGACTGTATGAAACTAATTTTCCACTTTATCTCTTTTCCCCTCACTTCGCTGTTCATAACTTACACAGAAAATGTTACATTACGTAATACTTGAGTATTTCGAACCAGTAGCGTCGGTGATTCTTTGGCAGAGAACATTTTGCAACCACACACGTCATTCGGGATACAATCTCGGACTGACTCACTTTTAAACCTCGCCTAGCTAGTAGTCAGCACGGTAAAGATGGAATGTTGGACTTGAAGCTAGTGACCCCAATCCGTAAAAATCAACCCTACTACCGAGACTTTAAAACTCAAGGCTTGTAGCCCACTTGTTCCACTTGGAAGGTGAAATGAAATACTTTTTTTAAAGTACAAACAGCACTGATGTGTTAATTTTGGAATTAACACGTGGAATGACCTTCACTTGTTCACTCACTCACTCACGTAGTAGTTCTTATAGGATACTGTCAAGAATTTCGCCTCTAAGATAACTGGCATCTTATTTCTATGTTACATTTGTAGTGAAGTCACATATATTTTGGAATCTAATATATCGAAGTAACTGTGTTTTTATTAATGTTACCATTCGTATTCTTAGCGCTTTATTCAAATGCTTTGATATCTCTAATTCATATATGTTATTATTATCAGTCATTCTCTAAGTTTCAAGTTGAACAGATGGCCTCAGCGACACACCTCCCTTCCAACTCGTCCTCTTGCATCACTTTCAACCCTCTCTATAACTAACTGTCCACAAGTTCCTCTTCACATGATCTCTTGCCTGTCACCTTTGAACGACTAAACCGTCTCTTTCTATTCGGATTCAAGTAGAGAACCTGGTGTGTGTTTCTCGAAAATATGTCCAGTCTGTCGCAGTTTCTCTATACATAGTTATTTTATTTATTTATTTAAACACTAAATCTTGGTACAATATGGCACCAAGAGGGATGCGCCACGCAATAATAATAAAACAACATAGATTAAAAGTAAAAATGTAAATGTAGAAGACGGATAAAGAACTTCATCTGGAAGGAAAACAGTCATATTTAACAAGTGTAAACAGCATTCGTTAACTATCATTGGGAAGGGATGAAAGAAGGAAATTGTAGCACGTTCGCCATCGATTACGATTCTTGGACATATCCGATAACGTAGCAAGCTATCCCTCGAACTCCAGCCAGGGAATCGCGGTGTACAAACCGATGCTAACCTGGCACAAATTCCCGTCATCCCACGGCACCACGTCATGGGTTGACCACCTTTCCGCCTATTCCATCCCGTCCCAGGACTAGCGAACACAGACCTCTACTTTATACATATTTACTGAGTAATAGGTTAGAAATATTCACTTAATTACATTTAGTTTTAAACCCACATTGATTTTCCACCGGTCAGTCCTACGAATTCACATTTATCTTCTGATTATGTCATTTTCAAATAATTAGAACTGTCAATCAACATAAAGCAAAGGCATTTATTGACTAAAGTGACAGTATTAATACCATTTGACACGGTGAACTAATCATAGGGAATCATTGATTAACGTTAACTATGACAGGTGTACTGACAAAATCTTGTCAAAATTCTTTTCCTTTTCAATTAACAGTTCCTCATCATCCACTGCCTGGATATACACTAATATATAGTTTTTTACATCAGAACTTTTACCAAACAAGTGCTCAGTTTTATGTATAAGGGTGGTGGGTGAAATTAAGAGGTTAAAGGTCATCAAAACACCAATTAACTAATAGATATTAGTAACAAGATATCCAAGTTCTAAAGGAAAGGTGAATATTAATTACGGAATTCAGGATAAATAGATTCTTAGGCGTTAGCAAGGAGTTCCCAAACAATCAGTCTTCATAAGATTACAATACACGGGTGATGTCAACAGCGAGATATTATCACGTCTGAGAAAGGCCTTCAAAAGGACTTTCAACTCAGTGAAGTTATGCTGTATATTCACCAGTCAACCAATACTTAGTTCAAAAAGTAAAGACACACTACCCTGTTTCGCCTCCTCCATGTGTATTTACCGGTTTAACTGCTCGTGCGGAGGTAGTTACATTGGGCATACAATCAGGCAAGTTCATCGTGGAATTTTTGAAAACCTCCTCTCATCTTGGTTTGGCAGAGGTTCGAATGAAGCTATAGTCAGCTCTACACTAGCTCATCTCATCGCTACTGGACATCAATTTGACTCTAACAAAGCTTTTAAAGTTATTTACCGTATGTTACCCAACCTCTTGCCGCATGGTCTGCGAGTACGACTTTGCATACAACAGAGGCAACCGGAATTCATCTGAACAAGCCAAATTTATGTATCCTTTCTTCGCTATGGCCAACTACATTATATGTATTAGGTTTTTACAAACGATTTTCACAGTTCTGGCAAATTCTATTAGCTCGCATGTTATGTAATTCTTCTTAGTCATCACTGCTATTTTACAAATCTCTCGATTATGTTCTAACTTGTTGCTAACGCCGAAGAATTACCTTATCTTGAATTCCGTAATTAAATTGATTTTCACTCCTCCTTCAAAACTTAGATATCTTGTTACTAACACATATTAGTTAATTATTTTGATAACCTTTAAACTCATAATTTCAGCTTCCCCACCCCGCCTATACCAAAAACTGATTGACTAAAAAATAACCACTTGATTGATAAAAACAGAATTTGATGTAAAAAAACGACTACACCTTAGCGTAGAACCAGTCAGCCGATGGTGAGGAACTGCTAATTGAAAAGGAATATAACATATTTCTACGCTCAATCTGGTGTTGTTTTTTCTAATTGCGTAAATGCAAATCTGAAAATTATTTTCCCCTTACAACAAAAGTGTTTGCATATTTGTTAGGTAATATGTGGTTCTTGGCTGATTTGTCGCCTACCGGAACTCCTAGTTGTGTTTATGTTTTTCTGGCGACCCCACTGATCTTCATTGTGGTGAGCGAAGTAAAAGACAATAGCTAGAAGATGGCTGTTAAAATTTGCTCTTCTTGACGCCTTTAATCTGTGTGAATGGTACAGAAGTGTAAAATAGAAAAGACCAATGAGCTTCCAGGGAATGTTAGTTAGGACATTCGAATTGTAGGTACGTAACTCTTTATTTGCACATCATTTGAAAATTGGTTGAATATCACCACATTCGACAGCTTTTCTGGATTCTGTGCAGTGCTGTAAGGTTCTTCCCACAGAGTTCTCTGCTTCTATTGCTTTTTCCAGTCTCCAGAACATATTTTTTTTTTACTTTTTTGAATTCTAGATGTGAACAGGAAAAGCATGGAAACAAACTTAAAATAACTGTTGTTGTAGAGGTTGGACTAATTTCTTTTGAACACACAGCTCCGGCTTCTCGATGCATATTGCGAGGGCTTCTGCATAACAGAGAAGTCGGAAACATACTGCTTTTGGTAGGTTTCTGTTGACTTTGTAAATCACTTTCAGAGTGATATGCATCGAGAAGCCGGAGCTGTGTGTTCAAAAGAAATTAGTCCAACCTCTACAATTACCATGGAACTAGTTTGGTATGTTCCGTTTGCTTCCTTTTTTTCTTCGTCTTTTTTCGTTCTCTTCTTTTTGAGCATTTTTTTTTTCGTTCGCTGTGTCTCTGATCCTTATTCCCTCAGTCTTCGTTCGATTCACCTAATTTTTTTCACTTATAAAAAGTTATTTTAAGTTTGTCTCCATGCTTTTCCTGTTCACATGTATAATTCGTTTAAAATAACTATTTTACAATTATATCTTAATACTGTGCAATTTTTGTGTTTCTAAGGTTCTTGTAATCTATATTCGCACCTTCCAACTTTCATTTCAAGCTCAAATTATTATTCCAAATTTTCTGAATTCGTTCACTTATATTTGATTATAAGTAGCACTGACTAGCTTGACATCAGTAGTAAAAAGGTAGATATTGTCGTCCTGAATATTTATTACGATTATAACTGTTTGGTAGGTTTGGTTTCACCGTCAATTGTTCATCCTTCTTATGTATTTCTTCTGTTTCTTCTACATCAAGAGTTCTTCATCAGAAGTCACAGAAAACAATGAAGTTGGTGGTGGTGATTCAGTTGCTGTCGGTGGTGCCATTGGGACTGCTGCTTGTGGTGGTGGCGGTGGTATCAATTCAGCCTCAGATGAATTGAGTCTTCGATCCTCTTCTGTATCGAATGTTTCATTAGCTGAAGAAATAAATCCACTAGAACTTATGCGTTATTTATCTGCTGATGACGAGCACGCCAATCACAGTCATCTGTCGAAATATCAGATGAATAGCAATGGGACATCTGACCGTATGTCTGATGATAATGAGCATAAAGAGGATTCTTTACTTGGGACAGATTCTGGTACAGTGAATGATTATTCTATGCAGTCGAAATCACCTGTATATATTGGCGCTGGGGAAATACGTAACCGACTGAAAGAACAATGTGAACTACAACCGCATAGATCATTCAGAGTAAGTGTAGCATGATTGTTTGTTTGATTGATTTTTTCTCATTGTTTGCTTTCCATGTGGAGGAGCATACAACTCCTCAAGATTTGAAGGTTCATTAGTGGTGATATTGTAGCCATCAACACCTACATTTGACAGGGGTGAATATATAATCGTATTTTATTGTATATTATTATTGTTTCATTAGGTTCCTAGTGGAACATAAGGCCCCAGCTGCACGTCTCCACTTGCTTTTGCTGTACTTTCCACCTGCATCCATGTTAGTTAGTCCATACTCTTTCAACTCCTCTCTCTTCACACGATCTCCTCCATGTCACCCTTGCACTGACGTCCCACTCACCACTTCCCTTTCGGCCTGGTTCCACTCGAGTAATGGCCTGACGCGCGCGCGATATCACCCAGCGGCGGCCTCCTCAGCCGCGACTGTCCAATCCATCTCCACTTTCTCCTGTATATTTGTTGGTTGGCGATTGGTTTGTTCTTGTTTTGTTTGTTCCTTCCCATAGTTTCTTGTTGTTGGTGATTCTTTCCGGCCTGGCCATCTGATCTTCAGTATAGAGCGATAGTTGACAGTTGTTGGTTGGTAAAGGTCTGCAACAGACTGTTGGAAATATTCTTTGTGACATGCAGTGCAAGTTTCTGATCTGTCTAGAAGAGCTGACTGACTTGACGTTGTTTGTATTGAATTTTGTTGTTGATCCTGAGTTGAATGACGAAGATTTCCAGATTGGTTTTAGGTTGATGTGAATGTGTTTCTCGCCTTCCCGATTCTCGCTCGACTTGACATCCTTGTCCATTCCTCCTACTGTAGTTGAGACAATGCTCCCTAGATAATGAAGTGAATGAAGTAACCTTTTTCAAATCCCTCCCGTTGATGGTGATTGGCTCTGGATGTTGCTGTTGTTGTTGTTGGTCGGTTATTTTCGTAACCTCCTTCTTGTCTATTTTCACTTGGATTCCTGTCTTTGCTGCTTCTTTGACCAGTTTATCGGTTTTCCCTTGTAAGTCTTCGAGTTTGTGACAGTGATATCAAACATTAATCATCCACTCGCGAAATCCAGGTCTTCTAGGTTCTTCACGTCTGTCTGTCCAGGATATCCCTGTCTTCTCGTTTCCCACTCACTGTTCGATGCATAATCCAGTCAACCATAATTAGGAATATCATTGGTGATAATAAGCATCCTTGTCTGACTCCTGTGTTTACTCCAAACGTCTCGCTGAGTTTTCCGTTGTGAATCACTTGAGATGTGCCGTTGTCGTACAGCTGTTGAATAAGGTTGATGAATATTTGGGGTACGCCGTAGTACTCATATATTACTCATATTACTTATTTACAGTATGTGATAAGAGATCATAATTTTTTATTTAATTCACTCATTCATTCATTTATTCATTATTATAGTGTGATCCTGAAGATCCAAGTGCAGCAGTCCTAAAAGAACCATGGCATATGAAATGTGAACGTATCCGTGCAACATCACCATGGGGTAGTCTACCAGGATGGAGTTTAACTAGTGCTATTGTAAAAGTTGGCGATGATTTAAGGCAAGAACAATTAGCTTATCAACTGCTGACTGTATTGAAAGTGAGTCATCTTTATTACTATTTTACTTTCCAATATCTATAATACTCTTAAAGCCTATGCCTTCTCTGGCTACTGAAGATGATAAGGAGGCGGTCAGAAATGATTAACACAACTAGCGACTTCTGCTTTGCAACAGATCAGTGAAGAACCTAACGCCTAACAAATGTATGCTTAAGGTAGTCGAGATGATTTGGACATACAACTAAAAAGACCGTTTAGTGGAATTGCAGTCGAGCCCCGCTGGGTTGAACCCCCACCCCACCCCACCCCCTCATCGAATAGGAAACAACAAGTTGGGCATGGATTCAAGGATGGCATGAGGGAAATAGTGTGTCGATGTGTGAGATGAAAGCTTATGGACAGTAGTGGAGCCAGCCAACTTGAAAGGAACAACAAAGTTCGTCGAAGTGTGTCTCTTTTCTGCTGCGAATTCATTCACTTAGCTAGCTGTACAATCACATTTATATATAATTATTTTGTGTGTGCGTGTGTGTTTACATTAGGATTGTCAAGCAAAAATAAATTAAAAAATAGGGTTACCGTTTATGTTATCAAAATGTTTCTAAAATGTGATGAATAATCAAAATTGTAACCAAGGTGGGGGGTGAAGATTGGTAAGTATTGACAAGGGTTGGGTATATGTGTAAAACTTGGGCGGACTGTGGTAGTAAGTAATTCCATATTAGTTTGTTTATTGGATATATCACACAGTCAGTGAAAATGTATTATTTACTGGATGACAATGTTTCGAACAAAATTTACTGTTCATAATCGTATCATCAATTATTAGCACACGACTTTGAAACTTGAGTTTTATAGTTTCCTTTGTCCTCTCTTATTTGTTGTCGTAGGAATAGTGGAATTTTCCAGATATCAGGGACAGGTGATGAATCATTCGTGTCACATGTATTTGCAGTTGATTCGAAAAACAAAGCTTCTGTTATCATTCTCTCCCTCCACCCTATTGCATTAGATTTTAAAACTGTCTTCTTATCCCATCCACCCTATTGTATGGTTGTGTGTGATTGCATGTAATGCTATGGCTGAACTACTCTCTAGATTTCTTATCTTATTTGGGTCAACCAATCTAGATTTTGCTAGGTATTTCTGTCCGACTAGTCTGACTGACTGCCCCTGTTCTACTGGTTTGACCTGTGTATTTGACCTGACAATCATTCCAGCAGGGTATTAGATAAACTAAATTGCTTTGTTCTGAAGGCTCCACAGGATTGGTCGTTTAACCAACAAAGCTTGTTTCTAATTGAGTTTGTGGGGGGAGTTTGAATGCCAGCCCCTTTTATTCCTGTCTGCCTTGTCAATAATTCTGCGTGAGGTGGTTTCCGAGGTTCCTTCCTTGCATAGAATTACTACTGATGATTTAGATTCCTTATTGTTGGTGTCGTCATTAATATCATTATTATTATTATTATTACTATCGCTACTATCATTATTTATTTTATGTTTACATTTCCTTACATATTTCCTGACTAATTTATCAGGGTAATTATTAAGTTTCAAGGCTTCTTTTATGTGTATCACTTCCTGTTTTAGATTTTACTTGTTACTACTCAGTTTTTGTGCTCTGTCATTTAAACATTTCACCAATCCTATTTTTACTGACATGGAGAAATTGGATGATTGGAAGTCCAAATATCTGTTTGAATGTGTGGGTTTCCTGTAAACGCACACTAGTTTGTTTAACTTCCCATCTTCTTTCCTTTTTATATTGCAATCTAACATTGGGAGCTCTCCTTCCTGATTGTGTTGGGTAATATAAAATAGGATGATAATGCAGATATATGTTCAAAATAAATTATGTCATAGGTAGAAAGAGTAAATAAAGGGTTGGTTAACAAAAAAGATGTTACTAAAAAGTCATACAAGAATTCAAAAAAAGCATTATTAACAAAGTAGTATGACTCTTGGAATTATACCCATGGTAGAAGGAGCCGGTGGAGAAGTTTCTTCTGTGTGCATGAATCCGGATCCTTTCTATCCGGATCACTAGGACCTCGACAATGCAAGGTATGCGGAAGCCTACTGTTTTCAGGAGGCTTCTTTTGACTTAATAGATCAATTTGAATGAGTTCTCCGTGCATATTGAGTGACCAGTGTTGACTATGTGTTCAATTACAGCACTTTCACATTGATCCACTGTTACCTTTTCCTAGTCAAGCGAGATAATGTTCTTTAACTCTTTTGGACAAAACGCACATTGAACGACCTATATACCTCGCTTGCTCCATATGAGCAAGTAAATTGGTAGATACACACATAGAAGTGGTCAAATGCGATAGTTTATCTTTGGAGTTGTTGAAGAACAATGGGCGGCCTGAGTTTACCAATCGTAATGTAGCAGCAGGGAATGTCGTTTTCAGGGCGTTAGATATTCTTCTCTACAAGATATCGCCCAGAAGGTCGCCTTTGAACGCCACATTCATGTACAGTATCTTCTTCGGCACGTAGATGGATTGTTCCTTGTTGAATTTTGGCTTTATGTGTTCATCTATAAAGCGTGGTGGATAGCGATTCTCAGCTTAAAAGGACCACAAAGAGCTGACTGAAATGCAGATGTACTACTGAAACCCTGTGTTCCACTCGGAACCCATGTGAGTAATATCAACAGATAACTTATTTAACTGGATGATACCTCGCTATTCGCCAAATTCATTGTTTGTGCACTGATGATAACCACCCAGTTGGCCAGGCTGTAGAGTAGGGCGGGGGCGAAATATGAACCTTGAAACCTTTCAGCTTGATAGTCGAATACTTGATCCTATGAGCCCCTATCTCCACAATATCTATTATCTAAATGACAGTAATCTGTTGTCTGAACTGAATTCAATTAACACTGCGAAACTTTGCATTAAAGGACATCAGTTCGAGTTGTCATCACCACACTTCAAAAAATCGTAACTCCTCCGTATAGATGAAGGTTAGTAAGGATTTTCAAAATGGGTAAATGATAGCTGAGAATAAAATACATCTGGCGGCTTGCAAACAATTTTGAGTCACCTCACCAATAACCCTCACCCATTCATTCTTGGCATAATTCCCCAGGAACTTAGCGAAGCACTTCTACACCTGCCTACATGGCTCAGACCAAGAATCAAAAATTGCTCTTTGTTTTAATAAAGACTTTCTAAGTGAGCTTGTTTCATTCAAGTTTGATCGTGGATTGATATCAGTTAGAGAACCATTGGAAACCAGTAGGGAGTACTGAACAGCTGTTTGGTCCTAGTTTGGGAATCATGGGTAGTACGTACCCACCGGGTCTTGAACCTAGTACCTCCCGTGGGCAAACAAATCAAACTACTACAAAGTAATAACCCTTGGAAATTATTCTGATGCTCGCTACTGGTGACTAGCTACAAGGCGAAGTTTTCTGATGTTCTAGTGAGACGTCATGACCTATGGGGTTCATCCCGTCGGGAGTCAGAACAATTACTCGCCAGCGATGACGTTGGCTGGTGCCAGTGACGCTTAAGTTATGAGTTGGTAGATGTTAGAGTTCATAAGCCGATGAGTTAGATCCCATTCGCTAAATGGTTATAACTGGAAGGTCCTGAGTTCGAAACCCGGTGGGCGCGTACCGCCAATGATTTCCAAACTAAGACGAAACAGCTGTCTAGTACTCCCTGTGGCTGGTTTCCAACTGTTCTCTAATTGATATCAAACCTCGAACAAATCAAATCCCTACAAACAGCTCATGAGCTTATTCTATTTCAGTGTTTCTCAGTGGGTTATAGCTTGAACTCAAATTTTTTAAATGTCTGTGATGGTCTGTCTCAATGGAGCGAAACAGGTAACTGATTCCTGGTGGCCATATGACAAAAAATTCATTTCTTTGGAGCTATTGTTATCCATCACAACCATATTGAAGTTTTCTTCAAATACCATAAAACAGCAGGAGAATTAGTGTTGCGTGACTGTAGGGCTCAGAGGACAACTGCTTAGGGCCAGCCACACACACGGTCTGTTTGAGTTGTGTTTTCTAAAGTTCTGTTTATAATAAGATCGTATCACCTCCAAAGGACTACGGTAAGGTTAGTTGGGATGTACAATTTTCGGGGTCAGCCTTTTCTCACCCCTCCCCACCCGTAGCGGGGAGGCAACACAGTGTGAGTGATTTACACCGTCACACTGGCTGCTTTGAGCCTAACCGCTATCCAAACTGCCTTTCCAGCATGGTAGGACCTTAAGGAACATTAGTTCCAGTCAGTCGTTGGATCATTTCTGTGTGTGAGCCTGACCACCACGTCAATGTAGCAGCTATTGGTCAGGACATTTCCATAGATATAAGGAGAATTATAAGTAGTATACAGAGTTTCGTACAAATGATAGGTTTATTGTGATTATATTATACACTTAAACATAATGATTTCCTGGCTTTCCGAAAATATATGTTGTTCTCCAACTTATGCTACTCACTACTTATTAGTATCTAAAATTCAGTTGAATAAAAATTGTTTTGTTTGTCATTCATTTGAGCAAGCACAAAGGTCAACATTAAACTACATAGGAATGTATTCGCCTATAGACTATTAGAAAGATATATGTAATGTCTTTAGGTTATTCATCCTTAACTGCCATGTTTTATCCGTTGGACGGGAGCAGAGTGCATTACTGGGTGAGAAATTCGCTATCTGATAGTTTTTTATAGTTTGGTTTGTAAGGGTTAGTTTTATTTTTTACGAACTGATCACGGATTGATATCAGTTAGAGAACCATTGAAAACCAGGGAGTACTGGACAGCTGCTGTTTCATCCCAATAATTTGGGAATCATCGGCAGTGAGCGCCCACTGGGGTTCGAACCCAGGACCTTACGGTTACAAAGCAAGCTAGTATACCATTCAACCACTGGGACTCGATTCAATGGCTCATGAATTCTAACTTCTGCCGATTCGTGATTTAGCGCGACCCCAACCATTGTCGTTGGTAGGACATCCATCCACACACATGACGTCTAAATGGACCTCACTGGTCAAAACTTCTCACTAGAACTCCAGGAAACTCCATCCTGTATCAATCCGTGATCAACTCGTAAGTACAAAACTAACCCTTACAAACCAAACTATAGAAAATTAATCTGATGCTCGCTAGTAACTTACTACAGGTTGGAGTGTCCTGAATTCTAGTGAGAAGTCGTGACCAGTGAGGTCCAATTAGATGTCACGTGTGTGGATGGATGTCCCACCAACGACAATGGTTGGAGTCGCGCTAAATCACGAATTGATAGAAGTTAGAATTCACGGGATGGCCAATGAATCGGGTCCGAGTGGCTGTATCTGATAGTTGTCGAGACGTTTTACGGATGCCAAGTATTGATGAATTCGCCCGTGGTTTCACTTAACTTCGTTTTCTTTGTGGCTGTCTTCCTTAGGTGCGAAATTAAATGAACCATCTACTTTAATGGGTGACAAATTGATTTGTAACAGGTCATAACTGTCTTGCATCTCTAACCTTCCATACTAGTTTGTTCACTGGATATGTGTAAGTCATACAGCGAAATCCTTCAACACCAACACTTGAAAGTTAATCCGATACTCATCGGCGACTGGCTGTATATATATATATATATATATATATATATATATATATATATATATTATCACTAACTGACACAGAAGTTGAAATTTCTGGACCACTGAATCAGGTCCCACTGGCTGAAAGGTCTACGAGTTCGCCTTGCAATGGGAAAATCCCGGGTGCGGACTCCCGGTACCAAAGTTGGATGAAACAACTCTTCATTGTTTAACTGAGATACTAGCTTGTGATTTAACCTGTAACCAATCAAATCCCTGCAAACCAACACCTCAAAATAGTGATCTTACCGCCGGATAGTCTTCTTAACACAGTTTATCATTCATAATCGAACAATAAGATACGTTTTTAATCTTACTTTATTCTAGTTAGCATTGAATGTTACTGTACTTATTATTAGCTTGAATCACAGACTTAATACGATATTGACACCAAAGAAGGACGAAATTGGCATTACTTTAGACCCTGATCTATATCTGATAATGTCTGTCGCAACTGTGTCACATAATCTTTAGTACTTCACCTTCGGACCACTAGCAAGTCATTTATTCTGCCTTACCATTCTAAGGAGGAGGAGGAAATAGGGAAAATTTAGCCCCGAGAATTGCACATCCCGGCGTTTAGGTGTTCTCATGTGGATACCATTCCTAGTGCCGTTCTAAACAGACTACGTATGACAGGCATCAAGTAGTTGTTCGTGGAGCTTTGCAGTCAGGTACCGCTAATTCTGTTTGTGTTTCAGGTATCTTCAGAAGAGGTCATCTTCTACAGTGTTGTGGGCAGCTGGGAAGTTATAATCACTTAATTACTTCCACTTCCATGCCAATTTAAACTGTCATATTTCGAAAAATGCGCTATACCTTCTTAATTTTACTGTATACTCACTAAACGAAACTGAATCAGCTATCTGTATAAACATTTATATTATTTAATAACCATATTTATGTACCAACAATGTTAGGTTTATGATATGTATCCACATATATATATATGTGTATGGTGATCTCTCTTTCTCTTGTTCGCTTAGTCTGTGACCATTTCACCTTGATGAACCTGTCTCCTTTAACAATGTATATTCCCCTCATAGTATATATAATATGAGTGTTTGTTGACAGTCCGTAGCTTGGTGACATATATCCATATTATATGTGTGTTTGTTGACATGTCTGCTATGTTTTGCTATGTATATATGGATCGATACTCCATTATAATTAGCCATTCATGTTAAGACTGTCTATTGATTTGCTCACACATTTGTCTGGACATTCATATATATTTCGCTCCCACAATCTTGTGTGACACTTTGGTGTGATACCACTTATTGCTTCTCCTTGTGTTTGGACAATAGAAGTATCATCGCAAACCTAGTGGTCTTCTGATTTCCGCCTTCTTACGTCAGGACTATTAAATTCTCGACCAGTACATAACAATAATTTGGCGACGAGTACATAACAGTTTACATATTTGAAGGCGATTGTTTCCGTCAAGTTGATGGTGTTGCTATGGAAAGTCCGTTAGGGCCCCTTTTAGCAGATATCAATATGTCGCACATTTAGAGTTTATCGGGGGATTTAATCGAAAATGTGCCACTTTAGAAAAAGTATGTAGATGATATTGTAATCATAAGTGATAAGCGCCTTGTTCTGCCACCTCATTTTTAAATCGAATGAATGAATTTCAGGCTAGCATATCATTTACATCTGTAGAAGAGGAAGATAACTGTTTATCTTTTCTAGACATATTGCTTAGTCGACGGCTTGATGGTTTAGTAAAAAGATCTATTTATAGAAAACCTGTCTGGACACAGGACAGGACAGTATTTTAATTACCACAGTTTCTGCCCTGTTCGATACAAAAGAGTTTTAGTAAGATGCCTGTCTTCAGTAGAATCCAAAGAATATGCACTAAAGACACACTTGATGAAGAAGAATGAAAGTTAACACATACTCTGGTTGATAACAATTATCCAGACGAGTTCATTAGGAGATATAAAGTAGTCAGAACATCAAGGCCCACTCTCCAACTCACCCCTAAGAAAGACGTGTACATCAACCCACCTACCCTATATGGGGCGTCATAGGAGCTTGATAACTAGACAAAGATTGAACGCTGCTGTTAATAAAAAGACTTTTTATGCAGCTAAGATCATAATAATAGAGAACGTAAAGGCAATATATCTATCTAAGCCCTTCGAACATGCGAAAAATGATGTCACTTCCGACTGTATTTACCAATTTGAATGTACGTGTGGACACACATACATATGGAGGACTCGTCGATCTCTGCAAGTAAGAGCTGGCTTCAGAGCATATTCCTAAATGGTTCCAGAAACAAATAGAATCTTCAGAACCTATTAATGGTGATAACAGACAACGACCTAGCTCCCTATATAGCGAAAAACAGTATAGAGGCAGGACATAAAATTGACGTTACCACTACATCTTTTAAACTTATCTATAAGACGTGTGTCGGGGGAGTGCGTATCCTGAAGTTTGTGGAAGCCCTAGAGCTGGCAATTAGAAAGTTTTTTCTTATTCCTTCACGTCCCAAGTGGAACATAGGGCTCCAAGTTAGAGTTTTGAAGTTTCTGTAGCAGTCTTCGTTTTTACAGGATTAGGTTGCTAGCCTCATGCCTAATCTTCCCTCTTTGCCAGTTCTAGAAAGTTTAAATTAAAGTTTTGATTAGAAAGTTTAAACCACCTTTATGCCTTCATCAAAAACAATTTGTCATCACACTAAACCCTCCTTGGTAAACTTTGTTTTGATACCAGTCAGAGTAGATGTACTATTGTAACAACAGAAGACAAGGGCCAGGCAACAGATCGTTTTATTGCGAAAATCAACACGTATTTATATAAATTTCACGTACATTATTATAGCCTAGTCAAGTAGACAAACGCAGTCTTCTGATTGGTTGTTTTCGAGTTCCTCGGAAAGTGGAGCCATCTATCTGCGAATCATATTTGCCCACGTTGAAGTTTGCTGTGATTGGTTGTTGAAACAGCCTTGTTCATATTTTCTCACGGCCCATATTAGTGATCTAGACATTGACGTAGATTAATGTCAACCAATTGGCTAGCAGGCTGCTCTCACCACACTATTACCGCTCTTTTATTTAGTTTAGTGATCTTCATTGTTGTTTCGACCTTCAATATGTGCTTTCAACTTGACCAAAGTAGTCTATTTTCTCATGTCTTAACACTGTTTATATCTAATTTTTTTCTCTTTCTTTTTCATTTCTAGAATATTTGGGAAATTGAACATGTCCCATTGTGGTTACGTCCACTGACTGTAGTTGTAATCTCTTCAGATAGTGGATTTATTGAACCAGTTCCAGATACTGTCTCATTTCATCAGATTAAACGACATGCACGTTTATCCCTATTGGATTATATGCATCGAGAACATGGTCCAGATAATTCAGAGGCATTTTTAACAGCTCAACAGAATTTTGTACAAAGTACAGCTGCTTATTGTTTAGTAGGATATTTATTTCAAGTGAAAGATAGGTGAGTTGTTCTCTTTCTTTTTGCATGTGTGTGTGTGTTCTCCTTCTCACGTGTGTTTATCTTCTCTTGATTTTCCCTGTTAGTAGCGCTAAAACTCCTTTTGGATGTTGTTCCTATCTGGTTGTGTAATGTTTTTAGTAATTGTAATTACTGTTAGACAACTGTTGAAGGAATTTGGGTTCCAGTGTAACGACAGAAGACAAGGGCCAAGCAACAAATTGTTTATTGAGAAAATAAACAAATATTTATAGATTTTTATTTTAATTGATTTTGAGATTTGCCCGTCTATTGATTGGACCAAACTGCCTAGTCTCAGGTTGACATGTCGACTTCTTGTGCAGATGCTTCGACGATGCCTGAGTATTTAGTTAGAATTTAACCTAGTGGATGGTGACTAGCAGTGGAATCCAGGATAATGCGCATTTCGTCCTGTCTCGGTCTCGTCTTCTGGATGTACCTGCATTCCCCAGTGAGTTACTGATGATGTTTCCACCACTGAGGCTCGAACCCAGTGCCCGTAGTTTCAAACACCAGCCAAAGCGTTATCCACTAGACCACCACTTGGGCCACAAGAGCCACTGCCTCTTGTGCAACGGATCATATTAACTATGGACACTGACTGGGTTCGAGCCTCGGTGGGAACATCATCACTCACCGGGAAATGCAGATACATCCAGCTGGAGGACGAGTCTCAAATAGGACGAAATGCGCATCCTGGATTCCACTGCTAGTAACCATCCAACAGTTAAATTTATAGGTTTCTATATACATTGTTATTTGTTATTATTAGCAGAGGAACAGCGTCTTCTGATTGGTTGTTTTCTCGCTGAAGGTTATTCTGTCATCTCTTTGTGGCGGTTTCTTTGAAGGTCAGATCATATACCCGTGAATCGTATCCGCCCACGCAAAGTCTGCTGTGATTAGTTGTTGAGTTGGTCTTTGTTCTTGTTTTTTTCTCATGACCCCGATTTAGGACGTAAAGATTGACGTAAATTGCTGTCTACCAATTTCGGCTAGCAGACAGCTCTCACCACACACTAGTCCACTCAAAATATGCATTGAATACAAAATGGGGCTTAGGTTAACTGCCTCAGTGATAAGAACACACAGTTTCTGAAGATGCTAAACAATCACATTGTCAAACATATTGTTTGATTGGTTGGAGGATTTCGTCATGAGCTGACATCCGTTAGAGAAACGCCACTGCTGAAGAGTCTCAAACTAGGCTGACAAAACCATTGTCCAGTACTCCCTGCTGGTTTTCCAATCGTGCTGTAACTGATGTCAGTTTATGATGAAATCCTCCAACTAATCAACTTGATTACTGAATTGTAGTGGTCACAACTGGCCATTTGGTTTCACTTTCTTGTATTCATTCGTGAGTCAAACCGACTGACCCTGATTTATTCAAGCGATGAACTTTCATCCAATGGTTCACTGATTTTCGTGTCGTTGGGAGGAAACCCCAGGTCGTAAGATTCGCCTCTCTCATACATGAGATGTAGATTCTGACGGTAATTCCATGTATTTTTTTCAACTGTATATAGTACTTTGAAGTAAATTTGAAGTACATTTTACTGCATAGTAACCTGAAATGGGTCTTTTTTCAATGGAAAGACTCTAGAGGTGGGTAAAATAAGCGCTTTTGTCGTCTTGGCTTTCGATATTAATATTAGATATATCTTAGCCGAACAGCTGTACTCGAATAATACACGGACGTTTAAAGTTTTTCTTTCTGTGGTAGATGAGTACCAATTGATACAGATACCTTTCACAATATACCTAAAGTCCTTTCTTAGCCAATACAGAGCACATACACACACACATGCAGGACGTGTCAACACTGACCAAGCTTTTCAGCCCAATCAAAATCAATCAGTAGGGAATAAGAAATAGTACTTTTGATAAATATCAGCTGATATATTCGTTGTAAAAAAAAATCTGGCTCGCGCTCTGGCGTCTCAAACGATAGACACTGGATTGTGTCCTCATCATCGCTCACTAGTACAGCCGTCTGATGGATCCCGAATGAGACGAAACACTTGTTCTAGCTTCCACTGTCGGCTATGAATCAACCAAATAAACGGTTTTAATATTGATCACCAGTTGACTACAGTAAGAGAACTGTCGAGAACCAAGAAGTATCGGACGACTGTTTCGTCCTTATTTGAGACTCCTCAAGGGTACGCACTCATGAATCCACCAGTGGTCGAATCCCAGGACGATTAGGGTTACAAGCTGAGCCCTTAGGACATCCAGCTACTGGAACGGATTGCAACGGGCCATCAATTCATGGTTCATATCACGATCACCAGCCAATGTCATCAATGTGTATTTCTCCCCACACCCAAATTGGTGGACTCCGCTGGTCACGACTTCCTTCTAGAAATTTAGGCAATTTCATCCTATACTTAGTTAACTAGTGTAAACCCCTAGGTTAAATTTCAGGCGTTGGCTTGCAGGAATTTGATTGATTCCAAGGTTTTTTTCATGGATTGACTCCAGTTAGAGAACTGTTGAAAACTAGGGAGTGTGAAGGGACAGTAAATTTCGTCCTTGTTTAGGCTTCGTTAGTAGAAGTTGTGATTGAAACGTCATTGGATTCCGGCCCAAGTACCTGAATAATATACGAGTTTGTTCTGCCTAAAGGTTTTGAGTTCGATCCCTGTTTGGGTGACGAGTGTCTTCTACCTCTGGAGAGTCCTACACTGGGACAAAACAGCTGGTGGTTTTCAACAGTTCTGTAACTGAAATCAGTTCGTGAAGAATCTTCCAATCAGTCAATTTTCTGTAAATCAACAATTGCAAATAAATGGTGTCTTGTTGGGATGATTAAAATAATACCTCCTAGTAAAAAGATCGATACTACCATCAAAGTAACCGGCGGTAAGTGTACTAATACAGAACCAATCCAAGAAACCAGTTCATACAGTCCGTGTTTGACCGGTTGGCGTCAAGCAATTGTCCCTTAGGCTCTGTCTATGGTCACACAACACTAACCCTCTTTCTGTTTCATGTACCTGAAGAAGAATCAATCAATGTCACCCTTGAAACCATATGTAAACCGTTGCTTCCCATTCAGCTTCGATTCGAGAGTCTGCCTGACACATCGTGACTCATCGGTCTCCAATCCATCTCCATTGGCTTCTGCATATTTGTCTGACAGTAGGTTCTTGTTTGATTCGTTGCCCCTGATAGAGATCCTTGTTACAAATCCTTTCCAACCAGCCATCTTATCTTCAGTATATATAGCCAGCGAAGTCAGCTTTCGATATAAGCCTATGCATCAAGCTGTTTGGAAATGCTTTTGTTGACGTGTGCTTCAAGTCTCTAAACCAACCATATAAAAGCACCGCCTAACTTGACACTTAGCGTTGAAAATCTGAATCTTGCTCTTTATGTTGGAGTGAGACAGAATTAAAAGGTCTGTCTGTCCTCTTTCTCAGATCCTAGCTGCTTTGTAGTTGAAACAAATATGGTTTCTAATTCGAATTTCTGCCGTTATTAGTGATTGGTGCTTGTTGTTGTTGTTGTTGTTTTTAGTCAATGGGCATCTTCATCACCTCTATCTTGTCTATGTTCACTTGAAGTCCTACATGTTTGTATTCATCTGTAGATCTTCGAGTTATTCATGAATTCAAGATGTGTCTAGAAGCGTACTGTCAGTTCAACGTGTATGTTTATCTTCTCACATAATTCATAAATTCATGAAAACAAAACACACGTGTAGTTCAGCGAAGAGTCTCTTTTCGCGAATTGTGAATTCATTCACAATTAGCTGTACTATCGCAGTTAGTTATACCTACTTTTGCATGTGTGTGTGTGTGTGTACATAAGCTTTTTATGACAAGTATAAAATTACTTAGGGTTACTGTGGTTTGTGGATAAGTGTCACAGCGGTTAGGATGCTCGCCAACCATGCACATGGTCCGAGGTTCGATCCCCCGGCCACCGACGCACTCCTTTACCTCGCTAAGCCAGAAAATATGCTGGTAAAGAGGAAAGGTTGGGCATAAGGCAGGTTAGCAATCCCCCCATCCTGTAAAAATAATCACCACTTCCAGAGAAATGTCAAGTCTCTAGCTTGAAGCCTTCCCTATGCCTCACTGGGAACGTGAAGGAAAAATTATTATTAATTATTTATCGTGGTTAAGAGATTAAGAAATTTGACTACAATTGGGGCTGAAGATCGGTAAGAGGATAGTGGTGATGTGTTGTCCGAGAAACATAGTTATTAATGTTAGTCATCAACACATAATAGAAGTTGAATATAAGCGTAATACAGTTACAGTAATAGGATGAATAGTTGAATGGAGTGAGTTGTGATTAGGATGCACATCATGGAAACAAAAGGGGAATGTGGAATTATTTAAGAGTTGTAAAGAAATACAAGAGTTGTAAGTTTCCACACCGTAGGTGTTACGAACTTCCTGGAATAATTTAAGTGCTGAATCAGATTGAATTATTGTAATTACTTAAAATAATTCACAAAATACAAGATTTATATAAGTAGTTGGAAAAGCATGCACACACAAAGTCGCATTAGTAGAAATCAACACGGTTGTTACCAAGATAGCAGAAGTATCATTATTATTGTTCCCTTGGATTACTAGTGGAACATAGGGCTTCAACTGCACGTCTCCACTTGCTTCTGTCTTCTGCTGTGCTTTTCACCTGCATCCATGTTAGTTAGTCCATACTCTTCCAACTCCTCTTCACACGATCTCCTCCATGTCACTCTTGCACCGACGTCCCACTCACCACTTCCCTTTCGGCCTGGTTCCACTCGAGTAATGGCCTGACGCGCGCGCGATATCACCCAGCGGCGGCCTCCTCAGCCGCGACTGTCCAATCCATCTCCACTTTCTCCTGTATATTTGTTGGTTGGCGATTGGTTTGTTCTTGTTTTGTTTGTTCCTTCCCATAGTTTCTTGTTGTTGGTGATTGTTTCCGGCCGGGCCATCTGATCTTCAGTATAGAGCGAAGACAGTTGTTGATAAAGGTCTGCAACAGGCTGTTGGAAATATTCTTTGTGACATGCAGTGCAAGTTTCTGATCCGTCTAGAAGAGCTGACTGACCTGACGTTTGTATTGAAAATCCGACCGAATTTTGTTGTTGGCGCTGAGTGACGAAGATTTCCAGATTGGTTTCAGGTTGATGAATGTGTTTCTCGCCTTCCCGATTCTCGCTCGATTTGACATCCTCGTCCGTTCCTCCTACTGTAGTTGAGACAATGCTCCCTAGATAAGTAAGTGAATGAAGTAACCTCTTTCAAATCCCTCCCGTTGATGGCGATTGAGGCTGGATGTTGCTGCTTTTGTTGTTGCTGTTGGTTGGTTATTTTCATTACCTCCGTCTTGTCTATGTCCACTTGGAGGCCTGTCTTCACCGACTGCTTCTTCGACTAGTTTGTCGGCTTTCTCTTGTAAGTCTTCGATTTTATGTGACATCAAACATAAATCATCCACGCGAGAAATCCAGGTCTTGTAGGTTCTTCACGTCGGTCCAGGATATCCTTGTCTTCTCGTTTTCCACTCACTATCTGACGCATAATCCAGTCCATCAAAATTAGGACTATCATTGGTGATAATAGGCACGCAGCCTTGTCTGACTCCTGTGTTTACTCCAAACGCCTCGCTGAGTTTTCCGTTGTGGACCACTTGACATGTGCCGTTGTCGTACAGCTGTTGAATAAGGTTGATGAGTATTTGGGGTACACCGTAGTACTCGAGTAGTACTTCGCGGTCAACACTGTCGAAGGCCTTCTGAAAGTCTATAAAGTTGAGGTAGAGGTTTGATTGCTGTTCCATACTTTGTTCTGTGATGATGATGCGTAGAGCTGCAATTTGGTCAGAACATGATTTGCCTTTCCTGAATCCAGCTTGTTCTGGCTGGAATTCTGTATCCAGTGCGTTGAATGATTTTATTTTGTATACGTAATTCTAGTTTATTCAACTGAATTACTAAAGCTTCAGAAATACAAAGGAGATGAAAGCATATCGTCTTTGGCAAGTCGTTCTTCACCTTGTATATTTCTTTGAACCAGGAAGCGTTTGTTGAGGTGGTATGACCAGTGTTAATGAGATGTTCGATAGTCGCACTCCTTTCATAGGGCCGCTATTACATTTTTGTAGCCACGCAGGATAATGTTCTTGAGCACCTTTCGACAGGGTACACGTCAAACGACCAATGTACTACTGTCTGACTGGCACCACAACAACAGGTGATGACCTGATATATGCACATAAGAGTGGCCAGACGCCAGTTCTTTTCTTTAAGGTTTGAACAGATCAATAGACGACAGAAGAACACTAATTTTAGCAATGCTGCAAAGAATGTTTTCTTTTCAAAGATCCTGGATATTGCCAGCTAAATCCCTACCTCCCCCTTGAAATCCAGATTCATGTAAAGTTTATTTTTTTGAAACAAGTGATGTTGTCTCGTTCCTCTAGACCTTTAGTTTTGATATTCTTGTCGATAAATCTTGGCGGATATCTATTTTGGATGAAGGTTTCTTTCAGAAGATTGAGTTCAGTTTCCAGGCTATCAGGATTGCAGATGCGTCGGACCTGAGTGTCAAGGAATTTAATCAGATAACGTTTCCTCTTCATAGGTAGGTACCCAACTGTAAAAACTTGTTATCTGTACATTCCAAGTGAGTTTCCTATCGATTCATCATCTTAAGGGTTCCGTCAGAGGTGGTCGTCTTGTTACTTACACATTGTTTTTATTCCTTCACGTTCCCAGTGCATTATAGGGAGGGCTTCAAGCTAGAGGCTTGAAGTTTCTGTAGCAGTGGTGATTAATTTTACGGGATGGAGGGGCTAGCCTGCCTCATGCCCATCCTTCACCAGTCTTAGTGGCTTATCGAGGTAATGGAGTGCGTCGGTGGCCGGGGGTCGAACCCCGGCAAGCGTCCTAACCTCTCTGCCACTGATGCACTGGCTCCTCGACCAGGAATCGAACCCGGGCCTTCCACGTGACAGGTGGAGATACTCACCACTATAGTTGCTCATGAAGTAAAGGAATTTTTATGGATTTGTATTCCATTTCGATAAATGAATATTGTTACATACAATATGATGTATGTGTATTTAAATTCCCCTTCTCTTTTTTTTCACCCTATCTCTATTGATTTTTCTATGTTTTGTTTGTTTATTTATTTATTTAGACATAATGGTAATATTCTACTAGACAATGAAGGTCATGTTATACATATTGATTATGGCTTTATATTATCTTCATCGCCTGGAAAAAATCTAGGCTTTGAAACTAGTCCATTTAAATTAACGCTAGAGCAAGTCAATGTTATGGGTGGTATTGGTAGTGATTTATTTGAATATTTTAAATTACTTCTATTACGTGGATTATTAGCTGCACGTAAACATATGGAACAGGTGAGTGTTGGTTTTTTGTTTTACTTTGTATGTAATTGATCTGTCTTATTGATTTTTCTTATTGTTTCATTATATAATTAGTCGTTAATATAGTGTCTTTCCTGAAGGACAAGATCCCGCTGTTGAACAACTATGTGCTTTTATCAATTCACCTGCTCGTGTAGAGCTAGGTATATCGATCGTTCGAGTAGAGTTTTATCCAACAGAGTGCAAGACCACTATCCTGAATTTATGGTTACAAAGAGGTGGAAGTGGAACAATAAGAAACGCGATCATTGAACATCTGGTCGATAATGACCACCTAATGATTTCTACAGCCTCCGCCTTTAAAGTCACCTACAAGGCAGAAAGTAATTTACCGAAATCACTACGCCCCGACTCATCTGTATTACTGAGGCCTTGGCTATTGAAACAGAAAAACCAGACCTTTGCATACCGAAAAAGCTCGTTCATGGTCTTAATTCCTCGTCTATGCTAAAGTCTGGCAATCCCTAATCATATTTTAACGCTACCAATTTTTTTTTTATTTTGTCTATTCAATTTGTATACTTTTCCTTTATTACTTCAGTTGTTACTATTACTATTATTATTGTCACTTTGGACTGTCCCTGGTATTATTTCACTTGTTCCACTTGTCATTCTAGATCAATGCTGTTTTGCAACATTAAATTCTATGTTATTAAACACCTAATCATCTAAGATACTTTGAAATGTGTAGTATGTCGAATTCTATGCTGTCACCGCTGCTTCTTGATGAATCTGATCAAAAAACTTATCAGATCTCGTCTTCTGTGAAACAAGCATTGTATACTACAAACAGTTTCCGTGGGTTGATGGAGATTGATAGTAGAATTCATGACTTACCACATTTCGTCCCATTTGGGATTCATCAGTCTTCCATTTTTCATTGAAATCAATCAATCAATGGAAAAGATAAATTATAAGCAAAACCATTTTTAACCTTTTTTATTACTTACGTTCGCAGTGGGACATTGGGAAGGCTTCAAGTCACAGAGGCTTGAAGTTTCTACAGCAGTGGTGTTTATTTTTTTATGGGATGGGGTTGCCAGCCAGTCTCACGCCCCCAAACCTTCCCTCTTCACCAGTCTTACTACTGGCTTAGCGAGGTAAAGAAGTGCGTCGGCCGGGAATCGAACCCAGAACCACATGAAGCGTGGTTGACGAGCATTCTACAGCTGTACCCCGGAATCAAAGCAATATCATTTTTTTTATTAAACTGGCTTAATATTTGTCTATCCTTCTCCTTATTCTTCTTCTCTGTCTTCTGTTGTAGATATGTGTACTTGTCGAGATAGCACGTGCTACATGTCAACAATTACCATGTTTTGCTCGTGGTAATGGTAATCGTACTATATCAGATTTACGACAAAGATTTCAATTATCACGTACAGAAGAACAATTAAAACAATTAGTTGATCAATTAGTACAAAGTTCATTGAATTCATTTACAACAAAATTATATGATAGTTTTCAATATTATACAAATGGTATACAATAATTAATCATCTATATGACGTTTAATATTTCTCTCTACTTTGTTTGTATGTATGCCTGTATGCGTGTTCGCGTATGTGTTTGTACGCGTCGTACGGAGGCGTGTAAGTTTGAAATACGCCCACGCACGCACGCACGCACTCGCGCATCTATATACAGAAGAAATTATCCCAGTGACCACCAAACAACTGAGACTACTACACTACGTGTGTGTGGGTGTGTGTGCATATCACGCGCGCGCATACACACACACATACGCCCCCCCTTCCCACGCAAAGAGGACATTACAAGAAGGTGATTATTTTCACAGTGCAGAATGCCTTCCACAATAAAATAAAAATCCTTAATAATAATATTAATAATATAATATTTATTTGTTTATTTTTTTGTCTGACTTCTTTTATTCCCCCTGTCCATCCACCTCATCAACCCCCCCCCTCCCACCACCACCAATACCACTAACCTTCAGTGTTTGTTTGTTTATTTTTTATTTTGACCTTGATTGATTTCAAGCATATCAACAACAAAAACAGCAACAACCCCTCCATTTCTATTTATTTTTGTCTATGATAAATGACTTTCTTTATCCACCTCTATTTTTTACTTTTTATTCTTTGATCATTGGCGCCCATTTTTTCGAAGGGGTTGTGTCACTGTATGTATGTATGTATGTATGTAGGTGTTCTTCAACATGACGATCACGATTATGTAATTGTTTAATTTAAAAAAAAACAACTATTTTTTCACCTATCTGTCTGTGTTTGTCTCTGATACGTGATTTGTTATGATTTGAAGAAGCAATATGTGTGTAGATAGACTTGTTGTGTTGTGGTTGCCTGGTTTATTCGTTTGTTTGTTATGCCTACTCACACATACCGCTACTTCTCTCATTGGTGTTGTAATATTATGTAATAATAACGGTAATATTAGGAATTATAAATAAATACATGCTTTCATCCCTGCCACACACCTAATTTGTATCCCCTTTACTTATTGATTTCTTTGTTTTTTTTCCTTGTTGACGTACACAAGTACAGAACAGTATCATTATGTAATTCTGTATTTCTTTTTAACACATTTATCTGATTACTCCTTACTTTTGAAATTTTACCTAGTGTCTTTATTTTCGTTTTCATTGTTTTGTTTAATTCCACTCCCCTTGTGTGTGTGTTGGAGACTGTCGCCTCTTTGATGATCCCTACTCTCCTGATTCTGCCCACCTCTACTCTACCAGACAAATAAAATTGAACACGATAACATCTATAATGTAAACATTAATATTTATTTATTTCAATTGGTGTATTTGTGTATGATGATAGGGTGACGTGTCTTTCCTTCTTCCTCTCTGTCCCCCCCCCCTCTCTCTAATGGGTTTAAAATTCACTTATTTATTGATTTCCTTTGATTCGATTTCATTTGATCTTGTCATGACCACATCAGCAGCTGGACGACACAGTGAAGGTGTTACTGGTGTGTGACTGACAATTTCGAAACACAATGGTAATGATGGGGTGATGGTAATGTTGCCGCCATCTCAGCCGCAGCCGCTGCCGACGAGAATGACGACAGCAGGAAGGCGAAAAATACTCCCAACTAATTAAAAACACAAAAAATTGACCATGGTGAAATTATTATTGATCGACCGATTGACTTGTATTTTTTTTTGTTGAATTCATTTATAATTATCTCCTGCATAAGATTTATTCTTTTCTTTTCTTTTGGTCAACTTCTTTGGCGGTTGTCACACACAAAACTGCCTTGTTTTTTTTGTCTTTTGGCTGTCTGGTTGTTTTTCTGGTCTTTTGACTTCTTTGTCATCGACTTCTACTTATTTTCTGCTGCACACTTTTGCGGTACTGTTTGTTTCTGTGTGTGTGTGTTTGCGGGTATTATGTTGGGTTTTCTTTTGTTTTTCTATCAAAAATATCTACTCAGATCAGATGATCGTGATAATAATAATAATATTAATAATTATAATATTTTAAATATGATAAAATTATTGACAAAAAAATAAATAAAAAGAACAGAGGACTGTTTTCATCTTTTCTTTTTACTTGTTGTGTGCATTAGGACGAAGGGTAGCCGGGGGGGGGGTGGAGAGAGAATACCGAAAATAAGTGAAACAGGATTACCTCTTCATCTAATTTCAGATATGGTGAGTTATCCTCATCACAGTATTGTTGCTCAATGGCTAACCGAAACACTAGAAACTATTAGAAGACAAGTATTACAATTTTCCATCGGTGATGCGCTTCCTATTCCTATTAGGTATAGTAATGCCCCAGAAAGAGACATCTTTGCACATTGTTTACTAATGGTGAAACCCTGTACTATAGATCCAGCGCCACCAAACACCTAACCCTAAAAGAATTATTGATGTAGACATTCATCGTACTGTAGACGAAAGGATGGTATTGCGATGGCACAAATTGGTTTATATCACAGCAAGAAAACAGTTTAATCAAGCTATTCTCAATGCTTTGATATCTACAAAAAAACATGTAAACGAACGTTCACTATGTGCGATAAGAATTTTGTTCTTGAAGATACACACTGCACTCCTCCATTCAACAACTCCCATCAATCAAAATCTCCCTAGTCCTTAGTCATCGTTGAAGTGTCCGTGTACTAAGAGCCGACGTGTCAACGGAGGATTGATCATATTCCGGTTGAGCATCATCAATCAACAGAAAGTGCAAAATTAACCTGATAGCTGCCATCAATCGTTAAAATTTAACCTAGTAAAAAAGGATTCTGAGTTAGATATTCCGTCTTTTGATGGACTTCCATGAAAAGGAATCTTATCCATTACCTCTGTTCCAGAATTAGCTGTTCACCCTCCGTTAACACAGAACTTCCTTACGTAGAGAGCAAGTTTGCTAGATGGAAATGTCCACTAATATTCGAAACTACTCAATAACTCAGTTCCAAAGAGAACCAACCTTGTGAAACTAGAATTTGAAGGCGACCAGACTTTAAATATGCTCGGAAATCATCTTCCTAAATCAGTCAATAAGACGTTCTTCACGGCAAAACTTCAGTTGACTTTTACTATCCAGAACCTATTTGGGATAAAGATCTCTGTCAAAGCGAAAGAATTGTTTTCCACACAGATACGAGAGTATATCCTAACATTGTCTTATAAGGTAAAAAGAAAAGATGTGAGAAGTTCTACTCCAGAACATATGACCGGCTTCTGTCACTCAGTCGATCCTGATCATAATTTTAAGGTCATTTATGGAATTCATGCAAACCTGACGCACTTTCTTGTTTACTAACTTCTAAAAACATTATAGGTCTCAGCTATATTTATGACTAAACTCGTGACAGAGCTTTGGGTACAAAAGAAGTCTGTGTACAGTTCCGATTTTTACCTTGATATTAAAATACCAAATAGGGATATAACTGTTACTCTTCCTTTGTAACTGATGCTATTTTCGCATTGAACAGTTCCTGGTATTACTTCAGCTGTCTTACTCCATGAGTTTAATTCAACGTATCTTTTGAAATGTCTCTTATCAAACTATTCTCCTTTATTACATAATATTGTATTAGTCTATGGATCTTATTAACTTCCCAACCCTTCCGAAGATGCAGTCATTCATCCATAATTGACCTGGTACGGCTGAAGATGGGTAGACCTCATGCTATCTCTCAAGATGCTGTCATATAACCTTACGTCCAGAGCCTCTACCCAGTAAGTTGTATTAATTTGTCTTCACACAATAGGAGTGTTCCTCATAAAAATGTAAGCGAGAAAGAGGATATATGGCGCTCACAGATGGATTGATGAAATTTCTGTTCTACCGACCTACCTACTTCTCACGTTAACTCCAATTGTGTGTATAAATTTACGTGTCTCTGTGGGAGCAGTTACATTCGGAGAACAGAAAGAAGCGCAAACACACCTCCGATTTTCTAAACATATACCGAAAAACCTACGTCTTAAGGGAATAAACCTTTACAACACAGAAATCCCCTTCATAGGGATCATCAGATGGAAATCGAAAAATTCTTTAAAATAATCAATGGGCGAAAAACTTCAAACTCTATGAAACGCCTGAAACCCAATTTATGTGTGTTCAGAAAGAAACAGTTATCAGGCTTTCCTTACCCATCGTGGTAACTGGATATCTTCACTGTCTCTCCCATTCATTTGATTACGTAATCTTTGGCTTTAACCTACCCCTTTGATATAGTGTAATTTTGCTTGCCTCTTGTTTTTATGATTTGAGTTGAACTCAGTACATTGTTACCCAATTTATTAAAATTGCTCATCATCTTACGCATCTCTCGTCCTTATTATATAACTCCTCTACCATTGTATGCATACATCTACTTTGTGTGAACTTGAACTCTCTGTGTAGAAACTATACAACTGTAATTTTCTGAGCACTGTACCCTAATTCCGGAGCCTCCTATCAACTGACATCATATAAGATTTGCATGTATGTTAAAACTTTTCTGTACATAAACTGAACAATTTATTTAAGCTGTCAAAAGCAGCTGATGAGAAGCCAACAAAACAGACAATGATGATACCATCTTCTTATTCTGCAAAAAGTGCTGTTCTTGCTTTACCCAAATCCATAAAGGAGAATAAAAGTGTGGAAAAAAAAACTACCTAAAAGAGGTATGGGAAACGCTGATGTACATAGGCTCGAGTGTGAAATGACTGAGTGGCGCATAAAACCGGTTTTGACCACCTGTACAACCATGGAAATACAGCTTCACTGCCTTGCAGAGCTTAGAAGGACGCTAGCTTCTCTCTCAAGACAACTATCCACTTCGATCTGATTGTCCTAGGTAGTGTAACTCAGTCGTATGATATTTTATGTAGTGCATCTTTTGGAGTCCATAATGTATACCAAGTTTCGATCTCAGTAATAATAGTTTTCACTTTATGAACTATTTTTGGGTATTAATTACATAACCTATTTTGTTATCCCTTGATGTTTAACTAAGATGACACTCACAGATATTTTCTATAGCAATCAATGTTTA